CGAAATTTATCTCCAAGAAGTACACCTGAAATGCCTACATAAGGTTGAGCGAATGAAAGCCAACCGAGTTGGATTCATTAGATGCAACGGTTTAAATGGTCCTTCAGAATGCCACCTTCATAAAAGAGCACAGAGCAAAGAAACCATGTCAAGTCCTCCTCACTCAAGATCCGATTTTAAAGAATCCATGAACACAGTTACTGATTGAAGCAAGTAAATCAACGAGCACATGTTTGTAATCTTTACCTTGAATTCACATAGTCTAACCACTTGCACACAAGACTCAAAACCCAAACACTAACCCCATTTGTTCCAAAAAGAAGAATTTCATGACAAATTCTAATTTTGATCGTTTCCTAGAAACGAAACTCCTTGTTCTTTAAATTAAAGACTACCAACCAATCATTACATCGAAAAAGCTTACTCAACGAGAAAAAGAAGCGAGAGAGATGAACCAGGTATCAGCAATGGCAGAGAATTTGGCGAGTTCATGTTCATTCAGAGAAGATGTTTTTGACGGTGTACTTGGGCTTTTACTGGAAGCTCCGTCTTCAGGCGTTTTCATCTTCTGATGCAAAGCTGCTGATGAAGCATGAGTATCCGAGGTCGATAAAGGACGCCGATGAAGAAAACACGACGGAGGTATGAATGTGGGAGATAAGCGACGAGCAGAGAAAATTCTTTGTAGTTGATTCATCATTTCAGACTCAACGCCACAAATTCGAAAAAAGAGAAAGCGATCACGAGTTTCGCAAACGGCGGTCGGAAGTTAATGACGTCGGGTTTCGCCGCCGGCGGAGGAAACGAGCGTAAAATGAAGAAGAGATGTGAAGGGCAAAATTGGAATTTTAAATAGTTGTGGTCAGATTCATTTGATATATAATGGGCCACACCGACCATACTTATTTAGTGTACTTTTGCGAAATAAATGGGCATAGAAGGCCCATAAAAGTTTGAGAATTATGATCAAAAACTAATTTTGGGTTCAAATACTAATTTTGGACAGAGATGATATTAGATACTTATGATAAAAATTTGTAGTGCTTTATAAAATGAAAAGTAGGTGTAACGAAATAAATCTTAAGATCGCAGGAGTAGTAGTTGGACTTGGATTTGGATTTGGATGTGTTGGAATTAGTTGGTTTCATTCATTTTCATCTATTGTTGTTTTCAAACCAAGGTCCCACGATCGAAATATCTCATTCTATTATATTATCATTATTACACTTCATAATATCAGTATAGGATTTTCATAAATAAAAGAGTACATCACATCGGCACATAAATCTCATCTCATCTCGACATAGGTGAACAAGTAGAGTATACTAGGGCGC